GCAAAAGTTTGTGTCCGTTGTGTTAGGGTGTTTGCAGGTCATTGCTATGTGGTTGGTAAGATGTCTTGAGTTGTTTTTTTATGTTGCTATGCAATTGCTAGCACATTCTGATTGGTTACAAGGTGGGAGTTGCATGCCAACTCTTAATAATTAGGATCAAACCCCTAACACTATGAGCACTACCCTTGTGAAAAAGTACACTTTAGCACATTTAGAGTACTGTTAAAAAATATATAATAAATATATAATATACTGTTAACATATATACAGTACTTAAAGGGTTAGTTCACCCAAAAATACAAATTCTGTCATTAATTATTCACTCTTAGGTCGTTACAAACCTGTAAGACCTTTGTTCACCCCTCGAAACACAAATTAAGATATTTTTGATGAAATCTGACAGTTTTCTGACTCTGCATAGACAGCAATGCAACTGAAATGTTCGACGCATGCGTGTGCATTCCTCTGCTCATAAACAAGCCCTGCAGCTAATGATGCACAGTGGATAAGAATTGTTAAAAAGTCGTTATTTTTGTTTTCTTTGCGCACAACAATATTCTCATAGCTTCATAAAATTACAGTTGAACCACTGATGTCACATGGACTATTTTAACGAAGTCCTTACTACATTGCTGGTCTGACAACATTTCTGTTGCGTTGCTGTCTATGCAGGGTCAGAAAGCTCTCGGATTTCATCAAAAATATCTTAATTTTACGGGTTTGGAACGACATGAGGGTGAGCAATTAATGACAGAATTTTCATTTTTGGGTGAACTATCCCTTTAAGTATGCAAATATGAAACATTGCTAATGATAAATTTAAATATCTATTAATTTCTATTGAAACTTGTATGTCAAGTATTTAAATATTTTTGCAATTAAGCATTTGTAATGAGGAATTATTACATTTAAAATATATTAACTTTAAATGTAATATTGAATAACACACTACTTAATCAAGCATTTTACATGTGCTTTATTATGTTATTCAACACATCAAAATAAGTGTACAGTACTTGAATGAATGAATGAATGAGGCATTTATATAGCACTTTATTGTGGATTGCTGCTTCATGTGGGGGGTCTCTCCTTAACCACCACCAGTGTGCAGCAGTGTGCGCTCACCACACACCAGCTACAGGTGGAGAGGAGAGAGAGTCATAGAGCCAACTCAATGAATAGGGATTATTAGGAGGCCATGATTGACAAGGGCCAGTGGCGGCAATTTGGCCAGGACACTGGGGTTACACCCCTACTCTTTTATGAGAAGTGCCATGGGATTGACCACAGAGAGTCAGGACCTCGGTTTAACGTCTTATCCGAAGGACGGTGCTTTTTACAATATAGTGACCCCGTCACTACACTGGTAGTCTCGCATAGCCAGACCTTCAGACTGACAGCTGAAGGTCTGGAATCCATGGCAGCTTTTATTGGCCAAGGCCCGCCCATGAGGCCGTTTGACGGACATGTCAAACAACTAATCACAGTTCGTTTCGTTCAGCGTCACGTTTCGGGGCGTGGAAATGTCGCCACAATAACAGGCCGGATGTGTAAAACTCTGACATATTTTAAAGATTCTATGCCGCAAACTTTGAATATTTCACATACTTTTGAAAATCCAGTGTTTACTTGATCGTGATAAGCACTCGTCGTCACAGTTGTAAACACGACTGCTTTCTTCTTTCGTGAGGGGTTTTGGCACCACGGCATCTTTGTTTCCAGGCGGAACGTTATAGAAAGCGACACACACGTCTCCCGGAAATCCTGTATAATTCAACCAATCCGATGACGACTTCGAAACTCCTGAAGTGTTTCCACTTTTGTGTGCCATATGCATCAGACGTTCAGCCAGCAGTCCGTGGGCGTGACGTCTGAGGCTGAGACTACTACACTGGGGCGTTAGGACCCACACAGACCACAGGGTGAGCACCCCCTGCTGGCCTCCCTAACACCTCTTCCAACGGCAACCTAGATTTCCCAGGAGGTCTCCCATCCAGGTACTGACCAGGCTCAATCCAGTTTAGCTTCAGTGGGCAACCAGTCTTGGGCTGCAGGGCGATATGGCTGTGGCATACTTCTTTAAAGAATGACAAAAGATTATTAAAACAATGATTTAAGATGTACTTTACAACTTTTAATTTGACTTTATAACAAAGTGCACTTTTAAAAGTGTACTTAAGTGTGTACTTAGGTGTACTCTTTTTAAGTACACTAAAGTGGTGTTTTATTTAATTAATATTATATTATCAGCAAGTAGAGTTCTTTAAAAAATATACTTAAAAGATCTGAAGTACACCACAATCCACATTCAATACAATTAAGCGCACTTCTTTTTCACAAATGTAGTAATAGTGAAAGTAGCTAATAGCTTTATGCACTGTTTCTATAGTTCTAACTTTTTAATCTAAATGCAGAGGCACAGATGAGTGTCTTCAGCAGTTTTATAATCTGTGTGTGTCTGTGATGGAGCATCTGCTCTCATCGTTAGATCAGCTTTCTCTGTCCTGAGCTGATCTGAAGTGACGCAGGTGCGGGTTTTTTTTAGGTAGGCTGGAGTCCAGATGCGACCAACTGTACTCGTGTGAATCACAGTCCTCAGCACTCTGTTACACCGAGCTGTGATCACTGTGAGCTGATAATGACTAGTTCATCAGATTTAGCCAGTGTATTTTTTTTTGTGCTTTTATTGCTAAAAGCAGAGATGGAGGATGTTTATGCTATTGTTGTTTCCATGTTAACTTTTATGCGCTTGTTTAGTTTTGAGAAGTCTGATACATTTAAGTGATTCCAGTCTTTCAGTTTAATTGAATTGGCTAAAAAAAAATCCATTGATTCAGTTCAAGTCATGACTCTAACCGTTTACTGCACAAGTTCATTTTACAGTCAAATTTTTTAATGTGTGTGTGTGTGTATATATATATATATATAGTTATATATAATTGAAGACAATATTATTAGCCCCCTATAAAATATTTCTTTTTTTTTTTTTAATAATTCCCAAGTGCTGTTTAACAGAGAGAAGATTCTTTTCAACACAGCATTTCTAAACATAATAGTTTATTTAGGATCTTGGAATGTTTGTAATACAAATAGAAACAAAATTATAACCAAGAATAAAAAAAGTCTACAGGTCAAAATTATTAGCCCTCTGATGTTAATAGTCAATGGTGTATCCCTTTTGCTTGATAACAGCCTTTAGTTGTTTGTTGTAGTTCTCAACAAGTTTCAGGCATGTCTCCTGAGGAGTCGCAGCCCATTCCTCCTTAGCAAATCTCTCAAGCTCCTCCAGATTTGTTGGTCTCCTGGCATGGACTCTGGTCTTCAGTCTGGGCTTTGTGCAGGCCAGTCAAGGACGTTCACTATGCTCATTTGGAGGTACAGTTGTTCTACACCAGAAATGAGGTATGCTTTGAGTAGCTATGACAAAACGTCGACCCAAACCATCTTTTGTTGCAGGTTGTCTTTCAAAATCTTCTCGTAGTCTTCCGTTTTCACGATTACTTTGACCCTGACGAGATTCCCAGTTCCAAACGCACTGAAACAACTCCACAGCATTACACTCCCTCCTCCATGTTTCACTCTGGAGACGGTGTTCTTTGGGTTGAGCACCTGTCCCTTCTTACTCCAAACATAGGCTCCAAACATTTCTCTATGGCCAAAGAGCTCTACTTTTGTCTCATCTGACCAAAGGACACATTTTTAGTATACATCGTTTTTCTCCAGGTTGTCCTTCAAACTTCAGTCTACCTTGGAAGTGTCTCTTCTTTAGAAGAGGAGTTTTTCTTGGTCGGCAACCTCGCAGTCCATTCCTGCCCGGGCCTCTAGTGTCCATCTTCGTTGAGATATCAATCCCAGACTTGACTAAATCATTCACTAGTGTCTTGGCAGTCATTCTTGGGTCTTTAGAAACCTCTCTCAATGGTTTTCTTTACAAAGTTTTAGAAATCTTTCACTTCCTGCCTCTGTTCTCCACTGTGTGGGTCTCTTCAAACTTCTTGATAATACTTCTCACGGCTGTTCTTGACACTTGAAAATGCTTTGATAAACGTGTATATGCTTCTCCTCCTTTGTGAGCGTTAACAATAATTTTTCTCAAGTCTAAGCAAATTTTTTTTTGTCTTTGCCATGATGACAGTACATATTATTTTACTAGTTGTTTTGAAAGATACTAATCCTCAGTTTACAGTGTAATTTAAAGGCTTAGACAATTAATTAGGTTAATTAGGCAAATTAGGTTAGTTAGGCAAGTCATTTAACAACAGTGGTTTGTTCCGTAGCCAATCAAACAGATCATTTCTTAAGAGGGCTAATAATATTGACTTTAGCAATTTTTTAATTTTTTAAATAATTATTTTATTCCAGGCAAAATTGAAATAAATAAGGCTTTCTCCAGATGAAAAATATAATAAGGAATACTGTGTTAAAATTCCCTTGCTCTGTTAAACATCACTTGGGACATCTCTGAAAACAAACTGAAATTTCATAGGGGGGCTACTAATATTGTCTTCAACTATGTATATATGTTGTATACACTTATTTTGTGCTGAACAACATAGGCATATGTAAATGAAAAATATGTATATGAAATGTGTAATTACAAATATGTTTAAATACATGACATACAAGTTTTATCATTACTTCAATTATGCAATTACATATAAAGTTGTAATATTTAGGTAAAAAAGCACTGTTAGGTTCAACTAATTACATTTAATATACATTTAAACTATAATTATAATAATTTAATTATAAATAACATGCAAATAAGCATCTGAAAACATATTCAGCCTACACTTAGAAATAAATATTTCCATAATAAACACTAATAATATGCTAAAGTGCACTGTTGGAATTTTTTTTATTTTTTATTTTTCACAAGGGTAGCAGTGTTTGGGAATCCTATCTGGATGCTATCATTTATTTGTGCAGTTCCATTTTGTGCCACTAGTTTTCACCTTTGAATACTGATGGTTTTCTCTGTGTGTTATCGGTTTTCTCAGGAGGGCCAGAGGTTAATGCAGGAGAAGCCGGAGCTGAGCGCGCTGGTGAAGAAGAAGCTGGAGGAGATCCGTGAGTGCTGGCAGGATCTGGAGAGCACCACACAAGCCAAAGCCCGGCAGCTGTTCGAGGCCAACCGGGCCGACCTGCTGGTACAGAGCTACTCCAGCCTGGACCAGCGACTCGAGCAGCTTGAGGGACACCTGGCACACGTGGACTACGGCCAGGACCTGACCACAGTCAACAAGCAGCTGAAGAAACTACAGGTCTTTACTCTTATTTCACAGACGCATGTATCAGCAGCTTTCAGCCTCACAAGTTTTGTGCATCAACAAGATGATGTTTCCTCCAGATCTTGCTTTTATTTTTGATCTGTCAGATTGCTGGTTTCCAACATGCCTTTAATTTCCTCTTTATTTCTTTCCTGCGCTGAAGACTTTTATTTTATTTTCCACTGCTGCATTTACTGGTAATATGAGCCTCATCACTGTCCACCGTATGAGTGTGATTCATGTCGCTGGTGTGGCTCTCCTCTCTGACAGCATGCCATGGCTCTCAGCTGATCTGAGTTCAGTTTCAGCTCTGTCCCCACGTCACTCCACCCTCATCAGCGGTATTGTAGCATCTTCATTTCGCTTTCTTGATTTGCACACACCCTCTCTCTTTCTTTCAATTTGCTTCTACATTCTTTAAATTCCCATCAGTCTTCACCAGAATATATTTCATGTGTGCATCATAGGTAGCGGTCAATGCAGAATGACCAGTCCTATGAAGCGCCTGTGTTTGTGTGTGTGTGTGTATGGGAGTGTGTGGTTTTTATTGTGTTATATTTCCTGTCCTTTTATACATCAGCATATTTCAAACATTTTGTCTTCAGTAGCATTTACTGTAATTAAAAATTTAAGCTCTCTAAAATATTTTTAAAATATGTTTTTAGGTATGCCAGTCAAAATGAAACATTTCAAGTAGTAATTCTGATTCTAGATTCTTTTTAAGGTTCATTTGCATTTTTTGTAATAGTAGGAATAATATGCAGTTATTAATAATAATGCAGAACATGAAGTCTCTTCTAGTTTGACGTTAACATGACAGAATTTTCATTTTTGGGTGAACTATCCCTTTAAGTCAATGAATTGCTGCGTCTCATTTCATAATGAAAATAGCAATGGTGTGTTTGTAATAGTAGGTCACAGGTTTGAATCCCATTACTGTAGCCCTTGATATATGAGTTTGGATTGGTCATTTACTCTGGTTCACTTCACTGTCTTAATTTATGTAACATCTGACCCGAATGGGTTACGGCATGTGGATCTTTTTTTACACTACCCATTCAAAAGTTTGGGTTTGGTATTTAGGCTGCATTTATTTTATCAAAAATACAGTAAAAAGTAATATTGTGAAATATGATGTTTTCTATTTTTAATATATTTTAAAACTTTGTTAACTTTCAAAAATTTTTCCTGTGATCAAAGTAGAATTTTGAGCATCATTAGTCTTCAGTCTTCAGTGTCACATGATCAGAAATCATGAATTCATTAATAATATGCCGATTTGCTGCTAAAGAAACATTTATTATTATTATTATTATCAATGTTGAAATAGTTGTGCTGTTTAATATTTTTGAAACTGTGATACTTTATTCTCAAGATTATTTGATGAATGGAACGCTCAGTAGAACAGCATTTATTTGAAATGATGTCTTCATAAATGTCTTTACGGTCACTTTCAATAAATGTAATGCATCCTTGCTGAAGTATTAATTTCTTTCTGACACCAAACTTTTGAATGTTAGTGTATGTCCTGATATCTTTGCTATCAAACCTAGTGTAATTTGCCATTTTTAAGGAATCAAGCTTTTTACAAGCACATTTTAACATTGATGAGCGTTTTCTTTGGAAGTTTGAAAGGTTTATGATGATGTCATAACTCACTTCCTGTCTCCTTTGGTCTTTCTGGTGTTCTTCCTCTCCTCTTTCCCACTATCTATACTGTCGACATTTTTAACTGTGCTCCTCTGTGCTGAACTTTGTATCTCTCCAACCTTCTCTCTTTGACATCCACTTCGTTCTCCTGTCCGTCCTTCCTGTCCCACACTTCAAACGACCTCTTCATTGATGTTCTTTTGCTCATTCATCATGTTCACTCCACCTTCACCTCTAACAGACGATGGAGTGTCAGATGGAGGAGTGGTATAAAGAGGTTGGAGAGCTGCAGGCCCAGGCGGCCTCCATCCCTCAGCAGGGGCAGGTGATGGAAAAGGTGTGCGAGAGACAAGCCGGGGTGGAAACGCGAATTGTACGACTGATTGAGCCTCTGAAAGAGAGACGTCGTATCCTCCTGGCCTCTAAAGAAGTGCACCAAGTGGGCCGTGACCTTGAGGATGAAATTGTGAGTTTAGCAACCGCATTATAACTATTAGCTTTAATACATTTTGAAATGTGCAACATGTTGTGAATGTGTTTGTCTGCAGTTGTGGATACAAGAGCGTCTTCCAGTGGCCACTTCTCAGGAACATGGCACAAGTTTACAAGCTGTACAGCAACTCATGAAGAAGAATCAAGTAAGACAGCATCAAAAAACTCTACTGAACAGAACTCTCAAGGCTCTGTTTCTCATGGTCATCTCCTCTTAGAGTCTGCAGAGAGAGCTTCAAGGTCATCGTGGATGTGTGGAGGATGTTCTGGAGAGAGCAGGTGTGATCGCGTCCATCCGCAGTCCGGAGGCAGACAGCATCAGGGCCGGCATGGAGCAGCTCCATCAGCTGTGGGAGGCGCTGTGGACCGAGACCGAGCACCGGCAGCTCCGGCTGGATGTCATGTACCAGGCGCAGCAGTACTACTTTGATGCGGGAGAGGTGGAGGCCTGGCTCAGCGAGCAGGAACTGCACATGATGAATGAAGAGACGGGAAAGGTAGGAGAAGAGAACAGACAGGTCAGGTGGGGGTGGGAAACACCTAACAGCCATACTGGGGTGATAGGTATTGGGTAAAATGTTGTTTAAATAAAACAGTATCAAATAAACAAAATGTTAGCTTTCTGGCTCATATATATACACACACATTATGTACATTATATATGGTACATAAAGTACATGCATCTCAAAAATGTTACAATTTAGGTTTATGCATTTAGCAGATGCTGTTTTCCAAAGTGACTTACAATAGCGGAACATAAACAATTCATCACAGAGTCAAAAATATTCTCATAATAAACAGTGCTAGTTTTATTAGAAAGCTAGGAAACAAGTAAGAGCAGGGGTGTCAAACTCAATTCCTGGAGGGCCGGAGCCCTGCAGAGTTTTGTTGCAACCCTGCTCCAACACACATACCATGTAGCTTTCAAATAAGCCTGAAGGACTTGATTAGTTGGATCAGGTGTGTTTAATTAGGGTTGAATCTAAACTCTGCAGGGCTCTGGCCCTCCAGGAATTGAGCTTGACACCCCTGTTATAGATGATGACATTGGAGCAATGTGTATCTGAGCTGTGTCCTCTCTCGCTTAAGGATGAAGCCAGTACTCTGCAGCTGCTGAAGAAACAGCTGGCGCTAGAGCAGACCATAGAGGACTATGCTGAGACCATCGGAATGCTTTCTCAGCAGTGCAGACAGCTGCTGGAGCTCGGACATCCAGACTGGTAAATGAGCAGCAGTACTTACTGACCCAATCAAGCATACAAACACACAACAATCTTTTGCTTATCTAGTTTCACTTTTGTGCCATCACAGATGCCATTCTTTGTATTCCAGTGATAACACCTTTCAAGATTTGTTTTCCTTTGAATTAAATCTATGTGTGTTTGTGTGCTTATGCCTCAGTGAGCAGATCAGTAAGCATCAGTCTCAGATCGACAGGCTGTACGTGTCTCTGAAGGACCTGGTGGAGGAGAGGAAGTCTCGTCTGGAGCAACAGTACTGGCTCTATCAGCTCAACAGAGAGGTGGATGAACTTGAGCAGTGGATAGCAGAGAGGGAGGTCATCGCCAGCTCCACTGAACTCGGACAGGACTTCGAGCATGTCACGGTCAGTTGCTTCAGCTATTTCATATTTATCTGCCCCTAAACATGATCAGCTGTAGCTCTTGTAATTCTTCCGTTTCTTAACACTCAAATCCTGATCCTGCAGATTCTGCAGGAGAAATTCACAGAGTTTGCATCGGAGACTGGGAGCCTGGGGCAGGAGAGGGTCACAGCTGTCAACCAGATGGTTGATGAGCTCATAGATTACGGGCATGGGGATGCAGCCACCATCGCTGAATGGAAGGATGGGGTGAACGAGGCCTGGGCGGATCTGCTGGAGCTGATGGAGACGCGAGGACAGATGCTTGCTGCTTCACACCAGTTACACAAGTTCTTCTCTGACTGCCAAGAGGTATGAAGGAGGAAATGCAGGACATCTGATTAATTAAGTCGTCTAAACTGAGTGCTTTGCCAAGGCCATCATTATTATGACTAGTACTTATACTTAACTATCACTGTCACTATTGCTCATGGGGTTTTCTTCAAATGCTTGTTTATTAAACCGTCTGTTTTATTGACATGCATCCTTCCAAGCAACCATATAGCAATGTATTAAGCCAGCATTTAAAAAAAAAAAGTTGCCACCCTGTTGAAAAATCCAGCATATGCTGGTTAGGTATGTTTTGAAGCATGGCTGCTGGTTTGAGCTGGTTTAAGCTGGTACTTAGCTGGTCATGAGCTGGTTTAAAGGGTTAGTTCACCCAAAAAATGAAAATTAGGCTGTGTTTTACTCACCCCCAAGGCATCCTAGGTGTATATGACTTTCTTCTTTCAGACGAATCCAGTCGGAGTTATATTAAAAATTGTCCTGGCTATTCCAAGCTCTATCATTGCAGTCAGCGGGTGTTGCAGTGCTTCAGTCCAAAAGAAGTTAAATAAAGCGCATCCATCCATAATAAAAAGTGTCTCACACGGCTCCCAGGGGTGAACAAAGGCCCCCTGCGTTTTTGTAAGAAAAATATCCATATTCAAAACGTAATAATCACTTTAATCTAGCTTGCGCCAACAGTCCTACATGGAAGCAGCTCCGGGAGCATGACGTAAGATGCCGGCGTTGAGCATGCGCCGGTGAGTCTCGTGAAAACCAACGTTTGTTTACAGGA